GAAAGACCTAAATGTGAGACAGGAGTCCATCAAAATCCTAAAGAAAAAGTCTGTCTTCCACTGGATTCTGTCATATCAGTCATATATCCTAGCTTGGTGCTGAAATAAACACTTGCTACTTTAAAGAGTGGTAGGTGAAGATAAGGCCAACATGCTGAGATTAGCAGAGTCGGAAGATGAATAGAACCTGTGTCCTTGATGTCAGAGAGGCACTGAATTAACCAACCTAGAGCCATCCCTAGATAGGACCTCTGCTTGTGTATGTTAATACATCCCCTTATTGTTTAAGCTACTTTGAAATACATCCATTAGCAACCTTTCCAATTTGGTCTCCTTCTGTAGTTTTATAGCAGCCTGTACTTCTGCTTCATCACAAATACCATAATAGGATTGATAACTTTTGTACTTATTTGTTTAATATCTCTCATCTGCTGGACAGTACAGTCCTTGAGAGTAAGGACTGTGCCTGTCATACTTTCAGCATTAACTCCAGTGCCTGGCACATTATAAGACTCTCAATAAATATTTGTGGAATAAATGAATAACCTTATTCATCAAATCTCCTACTACTGAATACTTGAGTTGTTTCCAACTTTTTATTTCAATAAAGCTACAATAAACATCCTTGTACATGTGTTCTCCACACATACAGAGAACTTCTCTATGGTAAATACTTAAAGGTCAAATTGCTGGGTCCTAAGTTGTGTATATTTTCAATTTTTCTAAGTACTCTCAAATTTTTCATGAAGAGGTTGTACCAATTTACCCTCTCATCAGCAGTGCTTGAGTTCCTATTTCTTCACATCCTTGCTAACATTTGGTATCATGAAACCTTTCAATTTTTGCAAATCTGATGACTAAGAAATAATATCTCATTTTAATTTGCACTCCCTTTATTACTAACATAGCATTTTCCTATATTTGGCCATTCAAATTTCTACTTAAAAAGCACCTGTTCAGGGGCGCCTGGGTGGTTCAGTCGGTTAAGCGGCTGCCTTCGGCTCAGGTCATGATCCCAGGGTCCTAGGATCGAGCCCCGCATCAGGCTCCCTGCTCAGTGGGGAGCCTGCTTCTCCCTCTCCTCCCTGCTCAGTGTTCTCACTCGCTATCTCTGTCTCTCGCTTTCAAATAAATAAAATCTTAAAAAAAAAAAAGCACCTGTTCATTTTCTTGGCTCATTTTTTCTTGGATTGTTTATGTGCTTCATATTAATTTGTAGTTCATTATTATTTTGGAGACTACCCTTTTGTTTAAGAAGTAGATGGAGAGATAGAAAGATCATCATGTGATACACACACAGATAAAAGAGAATGAAAGAGCATGTGCAAATATCTTCTCTCTCTGGCTTGCTATGAAACTTTGTTTATAGTGTCTTCTGTCATGTAGATATTTTAAATTTGTGTTTGGTCAAATTGATCAATATCTTCCTGTATAGGCTGTAATTTTATGTTTTATATAAGAAGTTCTCTGGAGCACCTGGGTGGCTCAGTTGGTTATGCATCTGACCTTGGCTCAGGTCATGATCTCAGGGTCCTGGGATCGAGCCCAGTGTTAGGCTCCCACTCACGGAGTCTGCTTGTCTCTCTCCCTCTGCCCCTACCCACATTCATGCTTGCTCAGTCTCTCTCTCTCTCAAATAAATAAATAAAATCTTTTTTAAAAAATAAGAAATTCTTCTCTACCAAATATCATAACCCCCTAGCTCCTTAAAACAAAACAAAACAACACAGACCCACACTCACTAAAAGTAGGTTAGCTACTGTTACTTTTCTATCTTTACTACTCTAGTGAAACTGCTCTCTCAAAAGTCATTAGCAATTTCTCTGGGGTGCCTCGGTGGCTCAGCCGTTAAGCGTCTGCCTTCAGCTCAGGTCATGATCCCAGGGTCCTGGGATCGAGCCCCGCATCAGGCTCTCTGCTTGGTGGGAAGCCTGCTTCTCCCTCTCCCACTCCCCCTGCTTGTGTTCCTGTTCTCGCTATGTCTCTCTCTGTCAAATAAATAAATAAAATCTTTAAAAAAAATTTAAAAAAAAAGTCATCAGCAATTTCTCATTAACAAACCCTAGAGCCTCTACCGAGGCTATTTCCTACGCAACCTCTTTTGAGCATTAGACATTTTGTCCTGAAACTCTTCCTGAAAATCTCTTTCCTTTGGTCTCTATGATAATATACCATTGTGGGTTTTTGTCCTATATATTGCCTATTCCTTCTTATTTTATTCACTAATTCTTCCTTATCAGGATATCCTTAAAGATGGATGTTCTCTACCTATACTTTCCATCAATATGACCTTACCCATTGGCCTCAAAGGCCACCTCTGAAAATAAATACAAATCAGTTCTAAACAGCCTACTTCATTCAGACTGTTCGTTTCTAAATAGTCTACTTCAAACACTACATGTACCCTCAAACCCATGCTTCCTTTATATAGCACATTTGGTTACTAATACTACCTATCATCCAAGATAGTAGTTTCTAAGTCTTCTTTATCTCCTATCTCTCATGTTACTAAATCCAGTCATTTGTTAAATGCTGTTGATACTATTTTAAAATATCTCAAATCCATCCCCTCCTTTCAATTTCCACAACCCTATATCAAGAGTCATTGTATCTTGCCTATTAACTGACTTCCAATCATTCTTCTATCAGTTATTCTTCCAAAGCATGTATTTAGTTATGGTTATTACGTGCTCCTTCTGGGCAAGATCAACGTCCTAACCATTTCTCAACATATGATTACTGATTTCACTGAAATTTGGCATTTTTGTTGCTCAAAAATCTAAGACAATAACAATCATTGCAATTAAGAAGCCAACCAGGCACCCCACTCTCTATCTCTCTGAAAACTTAGAAAACCTTGCTTACACCAAAAATTCTGTGACATGTAGGAGTCCAAAGCTAGCCCCTAAGAATTCTGCTAATTCTCCATAGCTTAAGCTTTAATGGTCCTTCCTGTGTCCAGGCACTACAATATGAGTTGTCTTCTTCATTCGACATGTCAAATTCATGCCCTTTCCAAAAGAACTCCTCTTAGATCAAGCATTTCATAAGCTTACCTGACTTTACTGATGTCAACAAGGGAATGTCTCACTGAACATGCAGCCTCTTACCACCTTTCTAGCTCCTCTCCTTTCTCCCTCCAGATCCCCACACCTTTCTCCTTCCCTTTATCACCACTCCTAAACCAAAGCAAAATACAGTTGATCCTTGAACAATGTGGGGTTAGGCGCTCCAACCCCAACCCTGTAGTCCATGTATAACTTTTGAGTCCCCAAACACTTAAACTACTTATAGCTTATTGTTGACCAGAAGCCTTACCTGATAACGTAGTCAATTAACACATATATTCTCCAGTTTCCTATATCATGACTAATAATACTATTTAAGATGCTTATATGTACCAGGCACATCACTAAACCCTTACGAAATAGTTATCATTAATACTTAGGAAAAATAAATAATTTGCCTGAAGTAACAACTAATTAGTTAAGAGCCAAAATTCAAAGCACTTATGTCTGACCCCAAAGCCCATATTCTCCTCTGCCTATAAACAAATGACATAACTTTTTAGTATTGCATTCAAAAAGCCCCTCCATAATTTGATTCTTTTCAGAATTCTTTCCCACCATACCTACACTGGACATCTCTGTTTCTGAAATATACTCTCTAATATCTTGTGCCATTCTATTTACCTAAAATGCATCCCTTCTTTGTCCATCACCTTGCTAGTCATCCTTCAAGAATGCTGTGAGGATTCAATCAGTTAAACACGTAAATTACTTAAAATGCTGCCTAGCACATAATAAATAATAAATGTTAGCTGTTATTATTACAAGACATTTAAAAGGTTTTAGAAAATTGCTGATAAATGATATGCCAAAATAGGTCAACCAAAAATAAAAGCCTTGATAATGACATACTCTCACATACATTCTCTCCTCTCTCTTACACACATACATGCACATTCACTCATACTCACACTCATACACATAAAATCAAGCAAAGACATACAGTAGAAAAAACACCAGTCGTAAAGTGAGACATAGTCTTGGTTTAAATTTCAGCCCTGCTATTGAATACCCGTGTGACTTTGGACAAATTACTTAACTTCTCTAATCTCCTGTTTCCATACTCATAAGGTAAGGATATTTGAATCAACTTTCTAGGCTTGTTGTAAGAATTAAAGACATTTCACAAAGAGCTTAGCATGATGCCTGACACATAGAAGGCACTCATTAAGTGACATAAGTTACTAAAATACATGATAATTATTAAAACAAAACATATGATAATTATTAAGAGGATGAGTAAATGTGGAAACTTAAAAACATCAAATGAAGTCAATTTCAGAAATTGGAACATCCTTAAGAATTGGAAAATATACCATTATTAGGTTAACTCAGGTGATACTTTTAAGTATTAGCATATACTTTAAAGTTATCAGAGAACTTGATAGAGAATATTAAGATATCAATTCAAATAATATTTACTTAGCATTCATACCATTATAAGTCCAAAACTATGAGGGATATAACAAAAGAGGTCATGATTCTCATCCTCAGGGAGTTTACTAGAAACCCAAACCATATGCCAATATATTTTGTGTTACATCAAATACAGGTTCTTAAAAGAAATATGCCAAAACACAGGCATAAAAAGTAGTATGGTGGTTCCCAGGGGCTGAGGAAAAGAGAAGGTTGGGGAGTTACTGTTTAATGGGTAGAGTTTCAGTTTGACAAGATGAAAAGTTCTGGAGCTAAATGGTGGTAATGTTATTAGCACAACATTATGAATGTATTTAATACCACCGAACTGTACACTTAAAAATTATTAAGATGGTAAATTTTATGTTATGTGTATTTTACTACAATAAAAAAGTGTAAGTAAAAAACAGAAAGAAATATGCCGAAAGTAGATTAATCTGGAAATAAACCAATGAAAACAGTTACACAATGAATTTCTACAAAGATTTTTAAATGGGTTACAAATTTAGCACTTACCTTCATATTTAAAATGGTAACATTTTCCAAGCAATAATACAGGGGAATTTCTACTAAAATATGTTTTTGTTTTCAACACCCAACCTAAACGAGAAAAGAGAAAAGTAGTTTTGCAATTAAAGGATTTCAGAATTTCAGACTAAGAGTCTAGCAGCATTCCTTTTTCTTAATTTCAAATCATTAATTCTCAACTATAGACACGCATTTTTTGCAAGAATAGCAAAATATATGGACAGTGAACTGAAAATACAGGCCATTTATGCGACATTCAAGCACAGTTAAGTATTTTAAACACATTCTATCCATGTAAAGGACATGAGAAAATAATTTAATTTTAATTTATTTTCAAACAGGTCACAATGTTCTGATGGTATAAAACTTAAAAGGTACAAATTCTATTCTAGTTTCTCTGACGTCAATCTCTTTTCCCAAATGTAACAAATGTTACCAATTTCTTGTATTTCCTTCCATCCCAGATAATTAAAATATCTGAAGTAATTGAGTATTCCAATGAAGTAATTTAGGGACAAGGTAACACAGTACACTAGTGCTTTTGATAAATGTGGATTGAAGTTTCCTAGGGAAATGTTATAACCCCATCCTGTCAGCCACCTGAGGATCTCTGAAAGTAGTGAATAAAGCTTTCAGAGATCCTCATGTCAGTTTTCCACCTCCCAATTCCCAATTCCCAATCCCCAACTGTAGTCGCAAACTCTAATTCTTCCAATTTTCTTCCTACTAAAGTGTATGTGTCTAAATGGTAGTATCCTCTTAGGTTTTATTTCCCATGACCCTGAGAGTATGACCCGAGCTGAAACCAAGAGTTGATTGCTCAACCAACTGTGCCATCCAGGTGCCCCTCCTCTTGGTTTTTTATGGTACCATTAATAGTTCTCGATTTCCTGAGAAAAACACTTGTCCATTACATTCCTGAATATTCCCAACTATATGAAATTCCTGACTGCTAATGGTAGCCTTAAGAGCCGCCTCTAAAATGCAAGAGCATATAAACAGAAAGAATCTGAAATTGGGAGTCAACAGATTTAGGTCTACTCTTTTATTTTTCTTTCCTTTTTTTGGGCAGCAAAGCAAAGTTTATTGAGCGATAGTAAAGAGGGAGGGGACCCAAGAGGGTTGCCCAACTTAGGTCTCCTCTTAAGTAAACTCTCTGCCATTTATATTTAAGAGTTGTTACAAAATTTAAAATCAGTGATTCTTATGAAAGTGCCCCCCAAAGTGCTATAATACAAATAAACATAAAAAACAAATAAAAATGTGTATTCATAATAAAGATGATGCAAGTATTTGAATTTGCTGGAAAAAAGAATGGAAAATCAAACACACGAATCAGGCTTTCACGCAGCTTGGATTACTGCAATACTCTGCCATCAGTCTTTCTTCACTCTAGCATATGCCACATGTCACTGCCAAATTAATCTCCTCGTGGCTCAGCTTTGATTAGGTAACTCTTCTGCCCAAAAACCATCCTCAGTGACTCATTACTTAACAGATTTATTATGAACTTCTCAGTGATACTAAAGACTTTCCAAAATATGATACAAATTACCTTTACAGTCATCTTTTCCACTACTTTTCACCTATACTCAAAGTGGGGCTTGCTATCTGGGTCATACTATCAAAATGTCCTCCTCAATATCGGCCTATCTAAATCCTACTTCTTCTTCTGGCTCATGTATGCACTTCTAAGCCATTTGTTCCTTTTCTCACTTGACTCTGATGCTCTTCTCTAACCTCCAATGGGAATTTAGTACTCAATGGCCACCTACTGTATGCCAGGAACTAGGCTAGGTGTTTTACAAACATTATGTCTTAGAAATATTATTAGTACTGTACCAGAATGATTCTAATCCCCAAAATAGTAATAACTCCTTCCCATACAACATCATTTCTAAGGCAAATTTGAAGAACTTCATAAAAACAACCTCAAATAAAAGGAAACAATTTTTAAGGAGGAACTTCTTTCTCTCTATGCTTTACCCTCTGCCTACCCCCTCCTACCAGTCACCAGTCCTTCCTCAAGAAAAGAGAAGTTGTGAATCTAATTTCTTAGAGCCTGGGGCACTGCAAGGATCCACATTTTACATGAGCACAGATTTATAGTGCTTTAAAGCTCAACCATCATTTATTTATTCATATGGTGCATACTCTCACTTTTGTACTTCCTGTGCAAATCCTGGCAGGACCTAACCCTCATGATGGACTGACTTCCTTTAATGCTCCTTGATGCTAGGTACATAAAGAAGACTCAGGACTTCTGATAAGGTCCAACCATTTTTCTCTCTTTCCACAGACATGTCAGAGCTGAATTAGACCAGTATGCCAAGTAACTAGTCTGTATTCTTTTTTTTCTTTAAATTATTTAGTTTTAATTGACCAATTTTCATTTTATCTTCTTAAAAGCATTGTAAGAAATATACCACTATCTCTGCCCTAGCTTGTTGATGCTGAACCAGGATGTTCTGGCACACAGGGATGGAAAAATGAAGGATGTAAAATCCATAAAGGTATAGGATAACAGAGCCTGGGGCATAGGAAAGAGCCATGAATAAGAAGTACGATTATGAGGGCGCCTGGGTGGCTCAGTTGGTTAAGCGGCTGCCTTCGGCTCAGGTCATGATCCTGGAGTCCCTGGATCGAGTCCCGCGTCGGGCTCCCTGCTCGGCGGGGAGTCTGCTTTGCCCTCTGACCCTCCCCCCTCTCATGTGCTCTCTCTCTCTCATTCTCTCTCTCTCAAAATAAATAAATAAATAAAAAGAAGTATGATTATGAATAAGTGCTTACACATACTGAAAAACATATATTCATCAGAATTCTTAATACTCAAGAATATATTTTTATTTTATTCCTCAATCTCCCCCACTTTTTACCTCTAAATCTCAATTTATAGCAGCAGGGAGGTGGGACAGAGACAAATTAAATGTCATTATGACTTCTAAATAAAAACTAATTAAATAAAACTAAATAAATTAAGAAAGTAAATTTGGCAAAAAAAGCCATTAAATAAATTGACACAGGGCAGTGACTGTCTATGAGGGGTGAGCATTGACCAGAAGAAAGAATGAAGAAACTTTCTGGGGTGAAGAAAATTTTCTATATATTGATTAGATTGTTAGTTTCATAGTTATACTCTGCAAATTGTAAACTTATGATCTGTTCATCTCACTTTATGTTACTTTTCTCTCAATTACAAAAAAAAAAAATTAAGAGATAAACCAGAACACTGTTGCAGTTATTTGTTCGTTTAACAAACCACTCTGAAACTTAATAATTTGAAACAACTTTTTTTCTTATATCACACAGTTCTGTGGGTTGACTGGGCTCAATTGAGCAGTTCTCCTACTGGTCTTGCTTGGAGTCTCTAATGTAAAAATCAGATGGAGAGGCACAACTGAGACACTGCATTGGCTGATGCTTTAACTCTAATGTAGTCTCAGGGCCTTTCTTCTTTGTGTGACCTCTCCATGTGGTTTCTCCAGCTGAGTACCTAAGCTGGTTACATAACAGTTCAGAGATCCAAAACAGAGCAAGCAGAAGTTGCCTCTTAATAGCCAGGCCTAGAATTGACACAGCCTCGTTTGTATCTCATTCTATTGGTTAATATAAGGCATACGCCAGCCTAGATTCAATGAGAAAAGAAACAACACAAGGTGTGATTAAAGATCCTTACTAAGGACCATCTTTGGAGACTAGCTACCATAAACAGAATATTATAAAAAACCCTACAGTCCATTAAGTCAGCAACTTGAAAATCACAAGGCTTTAAAAGATGTAAACAAGCCAAAGAACATAGAAATAACAGATGATAATGATTTTCTAGAGGATCAGAAATATACAGAAGAAGGATGGTTTACTTATTACTATTTTAAAAAGGAAGTCAAGTTTACATGCTTCATAAAGTTATGTAAATAAAAGGGGGGAGGGGAGAAGAAAGCAAAAATGAAATAGTTTTACAAGAAAGTAAGGTCCACAGTCTTTTAAATCTTAGGTGCTATGCCATTTCGAGCTCCTTCATCATTTCATAATACTGACATTGATTAAAGTAATCCTAAATTATGTTCACTGTATCCAGAAAACAGCCAGACTGAGGAGCAAGAGAGGCTGGGTTTGAATACCAGTTTTGAGTTATTACCTAGATATGTGACTGTGAATATGTTGCTGAATCTCAGTTTTCTAATAAAAAAAAAAAAAAATCTCAGAAAGATATCTGTCTCAGAAAGATATGAGATTTGGGGCACCTGGGTGGCTCAGTTGGTTAAGCGACTGCCTTCGGCTCAGGTCACGGTCCCGGAGTCCTGGGATAGAGTCCCATATCAGGCTCCCGGCTCAGCTCCCTGCTTCTCCCTCTGACTCTCCCTTCTCATGCTGTTTCTCACTCTCTCTCTCAAATAAATAAATAAAATCTTTAAAAAAAAAAAGAAAGAAAGAAAGAAAGAGGGGTGCCTGGGTGGCTCAGTCGTTAAGCATCTGCCTTCAGCTCAGGTCATGATCCCAGGGTTCTGGGATCGAGCCCCGCATCAGGCTCCCTGCTCGGCAGGGGCCTGCTTCTCCCTTTCCCACTCCCCCTGCTTATGTTCCCTCTCTCGCTGTTTCTCTCGCTATCAAATAAATAAAAAATAAAAAATAAATCTTTAAAAAAAAAGAAAGAAAGAAAAGATTTGAGATTTAAATAAGAAGATACATAAATTATCTACAAAATGCTAATGTGCTATGGGTGTTCAATCAATGTTAGTCCTTCCTACACCACCCATACTACACAAACTCTAAACAAGGAAAATACATAAAACATTTTAGAATGATTTTCACCAATAAAATCAAACAAAAAATAACTACTTTGTAACTTGAAGCTATCTAGAACACTTAGTTACCCTGAACGATCTGTTCTTTAGAGATTAGCGATTACCATAATTTTACTATAGACACTTAAATATCTAGATAAGGAAAACAACGCATATGTAAATAATAGGTTAAGTAACAATTCCTAGGATACTACTAAAATGTGAGTACCAAATGACAATTTTCAACTTATAAATGAAATCTTCATCACATAACCTATTCACCAGATAAAATGGCTTAAAAAGAGCATAAGCCTCTATTTGCAGATGAACATGATCTTACATACAGAAAACCCTAAGGAATCCACAAAAAACTGTTAGAGCTAACAAAACAGAACACCAAGCTTACAAGACACAGGATCAAATTACAAAAAACAACTGAATTTCTATATACCAGCAACAAACAAACTAAAATAAAATTAAGAAAACAATTCATTTTAAAATAGCATCAAAAAGAATACTTAGGAATAACTTTAACAAAAAAGTGCAAAAGTTATACATAGAAAACCACAAAACATCATTGAAAAAAATTATAAGCCTAAATATAAGGAAAGACATCCCATGTCCATGGATTGTAAGACTTAAGATGGCAATACTCTGTTAAGATGGCAATACTCTGCAAGTGGTCTACAGATTCTATATCAAATCTATATCAAAATCCCAGCTGGATTTCTTATAGAAATTGATAAGATGATAAAAAATTCGTATAGAAAAGCAAGGGATCAGAATAGCCAAAACAATCTTGGAAAAGAAGAACAAAGTTAGAGGAGTCACACTTCCCAATTTTAAATTTTACAAAAAGTTAAAGTGATCAAGAGAGTGTGATACTGGCACATGGGCAGATGTGTAGATAAATGGAACTGAATTGCAAGTCCAGAAATAAATCTCTACATCTATGGTCGACTGATTTTAGACAAGGGTGTCAAGACCATTCAAAGGAGAAAGAATATTCTTTTCAAAAAATTGTACTGGGACAACTAAATACCACATACAAAAATGAACTTGGACTTCTACCTCACATCACATGCAAAAATTAACTCAAAATGGGTCAAAGACCTAAATATAAGAGCTAAAATAATAAAATTCTTAAGAAGAAACATAGGTACAAATCTTCATGATCTTGATATAGGCAACAGTTTCTTAAATATGGTATCAAAAGCACAAACAACCAAAGAAAAAAAATAAATAAATTGGATTTCATCAAAATATGAAAGTTTTGTGCTTCAATGGACACTATGAAGAAAGTGAAAAGACAACCCCCAAATGGGAGAAAATATTTGCAAATCATACATTTGCTAAGGGATTTGTATCTAGAATATATAAAGAAAAAGAACTCTTACAACTCAATAATAAAAAGACAACCCAGTTAAAAAAGGCACAAAGGATTTACATTTTTTTTTTGTAACTGTCAGCAGTAACAAATCTGATAACTTTATTTTTTTTATTAACATATAATGTATTTGTGGGGGCGCCTGGGTGGCTCAGTCGTTAAGCATCTGCCTTCAGCTCAGGTCATGATCCCAGGGTCCTGGGATCGAGCCCCGCATCGGGCTCCCTGCTCAGCAGGAAGCCTGCTTCTCCCTCTCCCACTCCCCCTGCTTGTGCTCCCTCTCTCGCTGTGTCTCTCTCTGTCAAATAAATAAATAAAATCTTTAAAAATATATATATATATAATGTATTTGTTTCAAGGGCACAGGTCTGTGATTCATTAATCTTACACAATTCACAGCGCTCACCATAGCACATACCCTCCCCAGTGTCCATCATCCAGCCACCCCATCCCTCCCACCCCCTTCCACTCCAGCAACTCTCAGTTTGTTTCCTGAGATTAAGAGTCTCTCATTGTCTGTCTCCCTCTCTGGTTTCATCTTGTTTCATTTTTCCCTCCCTTCCCCTCTATGATCCTCTGTCTTGTTTTTCAAATTCCTCATATCAGTGAGATCATATGTAATTGTCTTTCTCTGGTTGACTTATTTCGCGTAGCATAATACCCTCTAGTTCCATCCACGTTATTGCAAATGGCAAGATTTCATTTTTTGATGGCTGCATAATATTCCTGTGTGTGTGTGTGTGTGTGTGTGCATGTGACATCTTCTTTATCCATTCATCTTTTGATGGACATCTAGGCTCTTTCCATAGTCTGGCTATTGTAGACACTGCTGCTATCAACATTGGGGTAGAGGTGCCCCTTCGGATCACTACATTTGTATCTTTGGGGTAAATACCCAGTAGTACAATTGCTGGGTCGTAGGGTAGCTCTATTTTCAACTAGGTACAAAGGATTTAAATAGACATTTCTCCAAAGAATATATAAAAATAGACAATAAGTATATGGAAAGATGCTTAACATCATATTCATCAAGGAAATGCAAATCAAACTCAGTGAGATACTTCACACCCACTGGAATGGCTCGAATAAAAAAGATGGACAGGGCACCTGGGTGGCTCAGTCAGTTGAGCATCCTATCCTTGGTTTCGGCTGGGGACATGTGAAATTAAGCCCCACGTCAGGCTCCGTGCTCAGCACAGAGTCTGCTGGAGATTCTCTCTCCCTCACCCTCTGCCTCTCCCACTCATGCTCTCTCTCTCTCCCTCTCTCTCTAAAATAAATAAATCTTTTAAAAAAATTTTTTAAAAACATGGACAACATAAGGTGCCTGGCTGGCTCAGTCAGAAAAGCATGCTACTCTTGATCTCGGGTTGTGAGTTCAAGCCCCACATTGGATTTAGAGATTACTTAAATAAATAAAAAACTTAAAAAAAAAAAAGGATGGACAATAAAAAGTGTTGGTGAGGATGTAGAGAAATTCAGACCTTCAAATATTGCTGATGGGAATATAAAATGGTGCAGCCACTTTGAGAAACAGCTTGGTAGTTCCTCAGAAAGTTAAACTTAGAGTTAACATATGATCCAGCAATTCTACTAATAAGTATATACCCAAGAGAACCGAAAATATATAGTCACACAAAAACTTGTACATAATGTTCATAGCAGCGCTATTCGTATTAGCCAAAAAGTCAAAAACAACCCAAATGTCCATCAACTAATAAATGGGTAAAGAAAATGCAGTATGGCCATACAGTAAAATATTACTCAGTCACATAAAGGAATGAAGCGGTGATACATACATGCTACAATATGGATGAATTTCAAAAACATTATGCTAAATGAAAGGAGTCAGACACAAAAGGCCACAAGTTGTACGATTCCATTTATATGAAATGTCTACAATAGTCAAACCCATAGAGACAGAAGATAGACTGGTGGTTTATTTATCCAGGGGCTGGAGAGATGTGGGGAGGAATGGGGAGTAGCTGCTAATGGGCCCGGGCTTGCTTTTACGGGTGATAGAAATGTTCTGGAATTAGATAGTGATGAAGGTGTACAATCTTATACTAAAAACCCCTGAATCATAAAAGGGTAAATTTTTTAGTATGTAAGTTATATCTCAATTTTTAAAAAAATCAATGTCCATAGTTTTCAAAATGAAATGTTTCATTATTATCAAGTTATAACTATCTAAATAGCTAGCTGGCCATGCCTTCCAGTGAACCAGGAGCCAACTGTCAATTGTGTTTTACCCGAATTTGCATTATGAAGGGGTTTTGCTAAATGTTATCATTCCTATTTTATGGAGATGAACTTCTTCCTGTTGCAACTGGTTCTGCTAAGTATTTCTCCATCTTTGAAAGTTTCTTCATCTCCAATTTGTTTCCAATCCAAGGTGGGTTTCAAAACCACCATATGCTCCTTATTGGATTTGTTTGCAAACCAAGAATAACAAGGTTAAAAATAAAGGTCTAGGGGAGTAAGTTGGAGGGGGAGACAAACCATGAGAGACGATGGACTCTGAAAAACAAACTGAGGGTTCTAGAGGGGAGGGGGGTAGGGGGATGGGTTAGCCTGGTGATGGGTATTAAGGAGGGCACATTTTGCGTGGAGCACTGGGTATTATGCACAAACAATGAATCATGGAACACTACATCAAGAACTAATGATGTAATGTGTGGTGATTAACATAACAATAAAAATTTAAAAATAAATAAATAAATAAAGGTCTAAGGGTACTCCTAAGAGAAATTCATAGGTATCAGTATGGAAACATTATACTGTCTACTTTGTGTGTTCAAAGGTCTATTTTGCTTGCTTCCTGGTTGCCTGAAACTGAGTCTGAAAAACCAAGATATTATCATCACTTAAATTCTATCTGCTTCTGAATGTTCAAAGAAAAAAGGACCACATAATATGCCTGAATTTCTAGACAATGTTTATGATGATATGTGGTTCTTTCTTAAGGATATAGGCTTATCCACATTCCTTACAGAAATATTTCATTCAAAGAGAAACTTAAGCAATTGTGAGTGACTTAGTAAGGCAGATGATATATGTCTTCAAATATTTCTTTAGATTTATACAATTTTTAAATGATACTTACTATATTTCATGTTGTTCCAAGCAGATATAAATTTAGTTTTTAGCTTGTCAACTTCATCTGTTCCTGTGGCCTCCATATTCAAATTCTAAAGAAAAAGCCATAACTTGATTGCATTCTTCTGTAAAGTTAAATCTTTAGTACTAAAAGAAAAAAAATTAAAGAAAAATAAGTAATGAGTATATATTATATGGTACAATACTGCTAAAGTTTTACTTACGATTAAATACAATTTGAACTGCAAATGAGTAAACCAATTTCTCATTTTACATAACAGAATATAATATATTCTATAAATATTTTAATTACAAAAAACATTAAATACCAAATATACAATAAAAATTATCACACAATACCAAACAATAATCTCCTCCAAGTACTCACAATTAAGAACAATAAATTAGGGCGCCTGGGTGGCTCAGTTGGTTGAGTGACTGCCTTCAGTTCAGGTCATGATCCTGGAGTCCCAGGATCGAGTCCCACATCCAGCTCCCTGCTCAGCGGGGAGTCTGCTTCTACCTCTGACCCTCCCCCCCTCTCATGCTCTCTCTCTCTCATTCTCTCTCTCTCAAATAAATAAAATCTTAAAAAAAAAAAAATACATTAGCTTAGCGAAACAACTCCACTTTGGTGCTTGTGAGACTATTCAAGATTTGTTTTATTTGTAATGCGAGAAAGTGGTTTTATTTATTTTTTTTAAAGGTTTTATTTATTTATTTGGCAGAGAGAGAGCAGGAGAGCGACAAACAGGCCCCTGCCGAGCAGGGAGCCGGACACGGGGCCGATCCCAGGACTCTGGGATCATGACCCGAGCCCAAGGCAGTCGCTCAACCGACTGAGCCACCCAGGCGCCCCGAGAGAAGGTGGTTTTCAATCTTATAAGAAATGACAACTATCAGGCGCCTAGGTGGCTCGGTTGGTTGAGCATCTGTCTTCAGCTCAGGTTGTAGTCCCCGGGTCCTGGGATTGAGTCCGCACTGGGCTCCCTGCTCAGCAGGGAGTCTGCTTCTCCCTCTCTTTCTACTTCTCCCCCTGCTTGTGCACTCTCTCTCTCGTAAAAATAAATAAATAAAATCTTAAAAAAAAAAAAAAGAAATGACAACTATCTTTAGAATGGAGGATTCCACTAAACTGATTAAATCACTACTTTCATATAAAACCTAATTGTCAGGATGCCTGGGTGGCTCAGTCTGTTAAAGCGACTGCCTTCGGCTCAGGTCATGATCCCAGGGTTCTGGGATTGACCCTCATGTCCAGCTTTCTGCTCAGGGGGGAGCTTGCTTCTCCCTCTCCCTCTGCCTGCCGCTCCCCCTGCTTGTGCTCTCTCTCTCTGACAAATAAATAAATAAAATCTTAAAAAAAAAAAAAAAAACCTGTTTTGTTTTTTAAGGCATTTCCTACATTTCCTCCCTATCTCAATACTGTAGCATCTTTTAAAAATAGAATGGCTTGAGGCACCTGGGTGGCTCAGTCGTTAAGCGTCTGCCTTCGGCTCAGGTCATGATCCCAGGGTCCTGGGATCGAGCCCCACATCAGGCTCCCTGCTCTGCAGGAAGCCTGCTTCTCCCTCTCCCACTTCCCCTGCTTGTGTTATCTTTAAAAAAAAAAAAAAATAGAATGGCTTAGGGGCACGTGGGTAGCTCAGTCAGTTAGGCATGGGACTCTTGATTTCAGCTCAGGCCATGATCTCTGGGTCCTGAGGGCGAGCCCCACGTGGGACTTTGCACTCAGTGGAGAGTCTGCTGGAGATTCTCTCTCTTTCTCTCTCCCACTACCCCTCCACTTCCCACTCCCCCGCTCCGCTCACACATGCAGTCTCTCTCTCTCTCTCAAATAAATAAATCTTATTAAAAAAGATAGAATGGCTTAAATCTACAACAGAAGATGTTTTCTTACTTTAAAATAAAAATAAATGTAGCTCACAGATATTTGTTTTATAACTGACTTGAGGGAAAATTGAGATGTGCAATATAATCTGAAAAAGGAACAAATTATACCTTAAAATGCTTGTGCTTATTTGCAATAATTCAGATAGTTTACTTATCAAGAAAAGAATGCTGCACAGAACACTGCTTTCTTAGGGTTATAAATATCTACTCAAAAGTATTGATACATTTATTTCTCTAACAATAGACATTCCATCTTATAATATGTACTAAAAGCTACTAATGATACAGTACAGTTGAGGCAGGAGAAAGCATGGTCCATTGGAAAAATTTTAAAAGTCAATATAACTAGAGCACAAAAAATCCAAAAAGGGGGCTTGAGATGTGGCTATAGGTTTGACATGGGCCAGAGCACACACGGCCTTGTACACCATGCTAAGAATCTTGTTGTTTATCCTAAGAATAATTGGTTTCAAACAGGAATATTAGAATCTGATTCTGTGGGTCTGACTCCCAGAGCAGCACAAAAAATAGATTGCAAAGGAGAAGAGTACATGATTATAGAGTTTACCAGTACTTTACAGGACTAGAAGAGAGATGATAATAGCTTGGAATGGAGCAACAGAGAGGGAGATAAATAGAAATTATAAGGAAATGTGTCAAAAATTCAGTGTCTTGGTGATTAAATGAATATAGAAGGCAAGAAAGATAGATATGCCAAAGATAGACCCATGTTCCTGGCTTGTGAAACTAAATAAAAGGTGTCAACCATTGAAATAGGGAGCATCAGAAGAGATTCAGGTTAGAGGAGGAAGATCATGAATTTAATTTATATATAGTTTGAGATGTCTCTGAGAGATATATTAAAGAATCATCCATTTATTTAATTATTCAATAAGTTATTGCCAGGCACTGTTCAAGGCAATGCAGATACAGCTTAGGACAAAAGCAGTGAAATACTTCCACTCATGAAGCTTACATTCTAGATATATCCTAGAGAGGCCATCTAGGCAGTTGGATATATAGATCTGGAGCTTAAAGGTGAGGTCTGAGCGGGAGCTATTAATTTGAGAACTGCTGATGTATACATGAGAATTAGAGCTACAAACATGTTCCTCAAGGACTTTGCCTTATGTTTACACCCTCAGCCTTGAGAATATTCAAGGCCCTTCAAGAAATTACATCTGCCCTTTTACTTAGCTTCCTCTCTTGCCACTCCCTCACTGCACCATTCACTGAAGCCAATTTTTTTTTTTAAGATTTTATTTACTTATTTGACAGAGAGAGACACAGCGAGAGAGGGAACACAAGCAGGGGGCACAGGAGAGGGAGAAGCAGGTTCTCCGTGGAGCAGGGAGCCCGATGAGGGACTCGACCCCAGGACCCTGGGACCATGACCTGAGCCAAAGGCAGACGCTTAACAACTGAGCCACCCAGGCGCCCTCACTGAAGCCATTTTTAATATTAATATTAAAGCTTCCTAAACTGGACATGCTTCCATGTCTTTGCATGTGCCGTTCCCTCAACCTAGAAGGCCTTCCTACTCACCCTCACTTTTTAACAACTTATTATCATGAGTCTCTAAGACCTAGCTTAAGTTTCACCTCCTCTGGTCAGACTTGTAAGATTTCTACCCACCTCCACACCTCAAACTAAAACAGATGTCCCGCTCTTAACTCCCATAGGATCCTATGTCCTCCTCTATCATGGCATTCATCACACTGTACTCTAATTACTTCTTACCTCTTACACTAGATGGTTAACTTTTTGAGTGTCCTTGAGTTCTGCGTGGCATGTGATTAGTTCTCAAAATATGTTTAGTAAATGAATCAGTGAATAGATAAATTAATAAGGTATATCACTAGTAGCACTTAAAAGCTGTAAAACTCTATCAATTGGAAATTTTGTCACTGACAACTAGAAATTTTTCTCCAGAAAATTGCATAATTTAACAAAATTTGGAGAAGTATGGAGAAAGGTTTATAAAATGTGCATCCACATGATTGATTACATATCCATTAAAAATGTCTCCAAAGGGGTGCCTGGGCGGCTCAGTTGGTTAAGTGTCTCACTCTTGATTTCAGCTCAGGTCATGATCTTGGAGTCATGAGATCAAGCCCCACATCAGGCTCCATTCTCAGCAGAGAGTCTGCTTGAGATTTTTCTCTCTCCCATTTCTGCTCCTCCCCCTGCTGTGTGCACTCGCTATCTCTTGCTCTCTCTCTCTCTCTAGTAAATAAATGGGTTAAAGATTTGATTTATTTATTTGTCAGAGAGAGACACAGCACAAGTAGGGGGAGTGGCAGACAGAGGGAGAAGCAGGCTCCCCCCTGAGCAAGCAGCCCAATGAGGGGCTCAATCCCAGGACCCTGGGATCATGACCTGAGCCAAAGGCAGATGCTTAACCAACTGAGCCACCCAGGCATCCCGATAAATAAATGTTTTTTAAAAAATGTCTCCAGGGGAATCTGGGTGGCTCAGTCGGTTAAGCATCTGCCTTTGGCTCAGATCATGATCTCCAAGTCCTGGGATCAAGCCCTGCATCAGGCTCCCTGCTCAGAGGGGAGTCTGCTTCTTTCTCTCCCTCTGCCCCTTCCCCCTGCTTGTGCTTGCTCTTTCTCTCTCTCAAATAAATAAAATCTTTTTAAAACATAATTAATTACAAATAAATAAAGTCTCCAGAAAGTTTGTGATAATGGGGAAACAATGGAGAATCTAAAACTTTATGCATCATATGATACTAGCTGGAGAAGTGGCAGGGGAAGAGTTAGAAAGAAATCAAAAATTGACAAGTTTCTCTGGATGTAAAATTGTGTGTGGTTATTTTTATAACACTATTGCCCACTTCTTCCAAATATTATACAGGGGCACCTGGGTGGCTCAGTCGTTGAGCGTCTGCCTTCGGCTCGGGTCGTGATCCCAGGGTCCTGGGATCAAGCCCCGCATTGGGCTCCTGCTTGGCGGGAAGCCTGCTTCTCCCTCTCCCATTCCCCCTGCTTGTGTTCCCTCTCTCGCTGTGTCTCTCTCTGTCAAATAAATAAATGAAATCTTTAAAAAAAATAAAATAAAAAATGAAAAACAAATATTATACAAAGAACAGATGTAATTTTTAGAATTTAAAATTTTTATTGTTGGGGCAGCTGGGTGGCTCAGTTGGTTAAGCAACTGCCTCGGCTCAGGTCATGATCCTGGAGTCCCGGGATGGAGCCCCGCATTGGGCTCCCTGCTCAGCAGGGAGTCTGCTTCTACCTCTGACCCTCC